TCCTCCTCCCATATCACCAGCTCACGGTGGTACCGTGGAATTCCATAGCTCGCTATTGGCCCAACCCACCGTGCGAGGATTGCCAGCAGTACCAGGCACGCCAAGCTTCGAGGTTTATACGCCGAACTCAAACCGAAGCTGAGCAGCGGTTGCACCACCTCCGCTTACGGTCCGCCCCGTCGGATTCTGAAGCTTGTTACGGGCGGCGCTGACAGCAGCACGAGCGCCCGGGTGTCCCGTCGAGCCACTGGACAAGGAACTAACCGCAGTGACGCCACTGGCAAAGGCCATACACAACATAATATAGAAACCATACACAGATTATGAAGAAGATGATGTGAGGTTTATTATCATGACGTCACCAACTTCTCCACCCACATACCCTGACTCCAATACCATTAGGGAAAACTCAACCCTTCTACTCATACGTCACTCAAGTTGAGGATTTCTACCTTTTACTACCCAATATATACTTTTTCCCTTTCATCGACGCCACCCTCACCCAACCGAGTACAATACTCGAACCGCAGACTCTCACCCCGCGTTCTTACTAGACCAGCTCTCGAGATGAATCATCTTCGGACCCGCGTCTCAATACAACCGCGGTACAATGCCGGACTCGTCCTGCCTTGCTCAGACCCTGTGGCGTAATGTGCCACAGAGCAGTGTTCGAATGAATCAGCCTCGGACCCGCATCTTAATACAACCGTGGTACATTGCCGGACTCGTCCCGCCTTGCTCAGACCCTGTATCACAATGCGCCACAAATGGATCCACTACGCCCAACGACTCCATACAACCGCGGTATTCTGGTCTGCCACCCTAGCCTGTCCTTTTTTAACTTTTTCTTCATAGCCTATGCCCCGGCCTGATATTCGACAAATATCGCATGAAAGTATCTTCCCAACCGGACAACCACCATGGTCCAGAGGATCCTGGGTACCGTGATCGGCGTTTTTTTTCAAAGCGGAGTAACGTTAAAGATCGTAATCTTTGACTGCAGGTGGCTTGTCAGACACATCCCTACCGCCACCCTTTATGTTGTACTCCATGTTTTTTCTTCACCCAACCACACGCGGGCGAAAGCAACCATATGGCTCCAAAAAGGACTCAACTCTCTTCTGCACATCCACTCCAAACCTGCAATCACCACCTTGCTCGGGTACCGCAGTTTCCTCAATTCCTCCGCCAGTGTCAGGATATTGAGGAAAGTGGCACCCCAATTGTTCGAATTCCTCGAAATTCGGAGGATGGCATTCGCCACCGTAGCGTACTTTGCTTTAGTAGAACCGAACGACCTGAAATCCTTATAGGTTCGAAACCGCAGGCCCTCCGGACCCCAAATTGAGTCCGAATTCTTGAATTTGTGTGCCATGATTATGCACCTCGGTTGACAAGCCACAATAAGTCTAGTTTCCAAAAAATCCAAAGTACCATTCCCTGGATCAGTTCTCTCAAGCTGCAATCCAGCAGGGTAGCATTGTGTCACCAAGTCAAATCGCTCCTTGGCTTTGCAGACCAGTATCGGGTCGTTCTTCTTAAAGAACGAAACCAGCAGCAAGTCATCAATATATCTCTTCCTGTTGATAAACCTGACATCGGCGCCGAGGGATATCATGAGCTTATATTATGAAAACATGCACATGACACAGGCGAAGGGCGGGCTAGCTCTACCACCCATTGGAATGCCCTGCCTCTGCCTTAGCACTGAATCACCTACCCGAAAAAACGTGTTTGACAACTGGAAACCAGTTAATGTGACCAGTTTACTTAGTCTAACTGATTTCCACCCAGCTTCCCCATGAGACTTCCCGAGAGTCGACTGCTTCTTCCGGCTGTTAATTCGAATCCATTTCACCCCCTTCTCATGGAACACATCAACCAGCCATTGCATTGCCATACTGATCTCCTCGTGTGGCAGTTGCGTGAACATCTCCTTAATGTTGTACTTACGCACCTCAAAATCCAGTCCCGTCTTTGCGCTATACTCATTAATCCTGCCCACCTCCCCTTTGAGATCCCCAACTGTGCGCAGGTTAAAATGTGGCGCTTTCAGCCTCTTAATCAATCCGTTCAACGCGGTTGAGAGTAACCCAGATGTCGCGCGGAACAGACTAGCAAACGAGGGGAACAATCGGACATTTCTTAAGCTTATCCTTTTCCTTCGATATCACATATGCAAACTGTAAACTACCACACCGGTCCCAGGTAGCTAATTTACCAAGACCGGCGCTTTCATAAGCGGCTTTACACTTCCCCAACAGCTCACTAAGATGTGCTACAACCTTCTCATAATTCTCATTGCAGAGATACATCTTCCGAAGTCCGGCCTCATATAGTATCGGACACTCAACCCATGTTTCACTTGTGTTCCGATCAAGCGGGGACAGGACCAAGCCTTCAAACGCACGACCCACCCCGGTCACATACTCGCTCAGAACACAGTCCCCATGCCTTGCTTCACCCTTACGAGCGATTGCCAGCCAATCAACTCGCATTTCCTCCAAGACCAGGCCCGCCCTTCGAAACCCGTCTAGCGCCTCATTGAAGGCCCGTGCCACCATCCTTCTGCTATCAATTGAACCCGGAAAAGGAACGTTTTTTGCATTGAACAGGAAGGGGTGAATGTTATCGATTTCGCTTAACTTGACCGCTACATGCCCTTTAATCTAGGCAAGTCAAGCCCGGCACAGGCACATTCGAAGCAACGTGCTTGTGCAAAGGACTTCTGATTATGCAGAAGGTCACCAACAGAGCGAGCTTTCAACCACACGGTCCTTGCTCTTCCTGCACACAAGTCAGCCAGCGAAGATGGTAACCCTTTTTCCCTAATCCAATTCCTCACAGTCGCGTCCACTTTCCGTTTATCAACGGTAGTACAAAACGGAATCTTGACGGTAATATTCATTCTAGGATACACTCCGAACCTCTTTTTACACACACCAGTGAGGATACCCCTCAGAATCTGCCTCCCTCTCTTTTGGCCAATGGTTTTAATATTGTTGTTCAGTTGCAATAATTCATCCAAAGACATCGAGAACAAGTCCTTCCTTTTCCATGGTGCACGCAGCAAAGAAATCATTTTTGCCTTATCGCGCTCAGTCCTGGTCTTAGTCATGCATAAGGTTGTGACAGACCAACACCCCCCACCTTCTATCATAGCCCTCGACTCTCCCAACAACATCTTCCCATCTTTTCCATCAATTTCAGATGAACCGAACAACAATTTAACCAATCTCCACGCCTTCACCCACTGACAACCAGCATTGTTAAAGATAACCACAGGGCCCTTGCATTTATTTTTTCGAATTAACTTAAGAATTATCAGTAGATCAAGTTCCTGCCGCGTGTTAACAACAGGACAATCAAACAACAGAGGCTCGAAGACCACTTTAGAATAACACCTCCCTTTTCTTTTTCCCCCCCGACTTCTTCGCGGCTTCTTTCTACGCACAACTCCTTTTGAATTGAGCCCCGGGTTATGACTCCTAATTATCTTAATCTCCATTCCTTCAATAGCCGGTCGTTCACCAAACCAGATTGGGATCGGGACATAGTGCTGCAAGCCGATTTTTTTAAGCCATGTGTGAACGCGCTGCCTGCTTCCTCTGCCAACGGCACGACAGTGTTCATGCCATCTATCTTTCAACGACCGTATCGTCTTACCAACATAGATGAGCTTATGACTCAATGACATGATCGCATAGACACAACTAGAGCCACACAACGTTCGTTCCCATTCGGCCTGAGATATACGTAGCCAAAACCGAACATAAGCTTTACCCCACGCCAAATCCCCACGTAGACATGCTAATAGTATAATCAGGACATGAATCCGATCCAACACAGCATGGAGTACACTATCAACATATTCCCTTAGACGCAACAGCCTGTTTACCGCCCTCTTCAGTGACCGCACGTTACCGAGCCGCTAGTTCCCGGACGCAGCACCAGTCCTAGCACCGTCATTGAGGTCCGCGATATCCTGATTCTTCGATGGTTCTGCAGTCCCTTTTGGGGCTGCGTCCTTAAGTTGATCCACATAATCCTGCAGATCCAGTCACGCGAGCTCCCATGAACCGGAGTCTTTGCGCACATAGCTGACTCCCTTTTGCTTGCACAGCTCCTGTACTCGTGAACAATGCAGTGACATATAAAATTGCTGCCTAATCTTCATGTAGGCAGCAAGTCCATCTTCATCAGCTTCCTCCTCCACGACATTGATCGGTTTCTGTGTGAGGTTCAGGTCTTCAGCCTCATTCGTCCCATACTCAGGCTCAAGCGCCTCCTCGGGGGTATTCGCGCGCTGCTTGCCCTTCTGCACCACCAGACCTTGCACCAACTCTGCCAACAACTTCTTCACTTCAGAGAGGTCGCTGCTCTTCTCCATATTCGGCGCCAGATTCTGCCTCACGCCATCATCCTCAGCATCATCACCTGATGAGATTTCAACCCTCTGCAACCTAGATTTTGAGCTGCCTCGTGATCGCACCTTCGCAACGCTCATCTTTGGAGTGACTGCCGCAAGAGCAGCGGCAGGGGCAGTTATCGACCTTTTTCGTTTCTCGCTGCTCGCCTCCTTCCCCTTATTCAAAACAACCAGTTCCAATGCAGCCTTCTCAGCGCGCAGTTTAACAAGATCTTCTTTCTCAGCAGCTGCAACATTCGCCTTTGCATCCACTTCTTCCAGTTTCTTAGTGATCTGTTTCAAAGAATCTCCTAGTGTCGAGGCGACCCACGCCTTCATTTCCTCACTCCTATCGTCCCCCCTCTCGTATACTTCCCGCGGCTGAGGATCACGCGGCACAGCAACTTCCATGCACACGTGTCATAACCACACCCATCCGCACATCAACAACCGGCGGATAGCCCTCGTCCCACAGTATCACCACCGTGTCACAGCAACATATCTGGCCAGCAGCCAGCTTCCACCTCGTGATACTGGAAGCCGCAATACCAGCATCGGAGGAAATTCTACGAATCCACAAAGCCGCTTGGCACACCACCGGCCGCTAGCTTCGCCCGGAAAGTAGCATGACCCAACGATATACCATATCAGACTGAATTTCACGAAAACACAACTTCGCACAACTCGGAGATAAACGATGATCAATCAATACTTTAATCAAACCATTCAATGATGGAAATGTAACCATCGACCATAAAAGATAAAATGTAAAATAATAATACTTCAGCAACATCAACTTTCAATGACAATTCGCACAAAGCTTACAAATGCAGGAGTTCCCACATGCAAACTTCGGTACCTCAGGTTCGTTCCCAAGCCACGACAAGGTCGACCCTGAGGCTGTATGAAATCACAACATAATAGAAACCATACACAGATTATGAAGAAGATGATGTGAGCTTTATTATCATGACGTCACCAACTTCTCCACCCACATACCCTGACTCCAACACCATCAGGAAAAACTCAACCCTTCCATTCATACGTCACTCAAGTTGAGGATTTCTGCCTTCTACTACCCAATCTATACTACTTTTTCCCTTTCATCGACGCCACCCTCACCCGACCGAGTACAATACTCGAACCGCAAACTCTTACCCCGCGTTCTTACTAGACCAGCTCTCGAGATGAATCATCCTCGGACCCGCGTCTCAATACAACCGCGGTACAATGTCGGACTCGTCCTGCCTTGCTCAGACCCTGTGGCGTAATGTGCCACAGAGCAGTGTTCGAATGAATCAGCCTCGGACCCGCGTCTCAATACAACCGTGGTACATTGCCGGACTCGTCCCGCCTTGCCCAGACCCTGTACCACAGTGCGCCACAAATGGATCCACTACGCCCAACGACTCCATACAACCGCGATATTCTGGTCTGCCCACCCTAGCCTGTCCTTTTGTAACTTTTTCTTCATAGCCTATGCCCCGGCCTGATATCCGACAAATATCGCATGAAAGTATCGTCCCAACCGGACAACCACCACGGTCCAGAGGATCCTGGGTACCGTGATCGGCGTTTTTTTTCAAAGCGGAGTAACGTCAAAGATCGTAATGTTCGACCACAGGTGGCTTGTCAGACACATCCCTACCGCCACCCTTTATGTTGTACTCCATGCTTTTTCTTCACCCAACCACACGCGGGCGAAAGCAGCCATATGGCTCCAAAAAAGACTCAACTCTCTTCTGCACATCCACTCCAAACCTGCAATCACCACCTTGCTCGGGTACCGCAGTTTCCTCAATTCCTCTGCCAGTGTCAGGATATTGAGGAAAGTGGCACCCCAATTGTTCGAATTCCTAAAAATTCGGAGGATGGCATTCGCTACCGTAGCGTACTTTGCTTTAGTAGGCCCGAACGACCTGAAATCCTAATAGGTTCGAAACCGCAGGCCCTCCGGACCCCAAATTGAGTCTGAATTCTTGAATTTGTGTGCCATGATTATGCACCTTGGTTCACAACTCACAATAAGTCTAGTTTCCAAAAAATTCAAAGTACCATTCCCTGGATCAGTTCTCTCAAGCTGCAATCCAGCGGGGTAGCATTCTGTCACAAAATATCGCAGTAGATTCTATAGACTGTTTGTCAAATCCGAGAGGGACGAAAAAGTTGGGAGGGATCTGTTTATCGATGGGCTTCGTAGTCAAGCGATGAGGGCGAAGTTGCGGAAGCAATTTTTCCCCATCAACCATACGATGCAACAAATTATGGATGGGGCGGAAGATATGGAACGGAAATTCGCTGCTAGCTTTCTAGAAAGCGAGGATCACGCAAAAGATGGAGATTCTTTGAAACTGGTCAGAGCAAAAGCCGAGTTGGCCGCACTCCAGAACAAATTTGAAAATATGGGTTTTGTCTCCGGACCGGTCACTTACCTAGAACAGGTCGCAGCCAAGAGATCGGTACCTGAGACAACCTTAGGATTACCGGTTATGGCCCTGCCTCTGCCTACCCCAGAAGCCCCTGCAAGGCGAAACGAGTCAAATGCGATACTAGAACGAACTCGAACACTGGTTAGCCTAATGCAAGAAAGCAAGAAGGAACAACGCGAGCACAATGCTCGGATCGAATCACTGATGAGATCAATGCACACCATTGCAGTCAGAGCAGCACCAGTGATGCCAGGCACAGCCCCCGTTCCAGCGGTGGGCGCGGCGGCAGCCAACATAAGTGTTTGTTACACGTTTCATCATCCCAAGCACATAGCCCGGGACTGTCCCCACCGTCTCACGCAAACAAGAACCGCGCCAGCAGCTCCAGCACCAATTGCTAACGGACATGGCCGGGTGGCCACAATGGTAGAAGAAACCGACAACGGGGTAAGCCCGTCGGGGGTCACGGAGGAAGTGGCAGAGCTTATCCCGCTCGACCAGTACGTGTCGTTGGGATACCCGGGCCTCGGCATGATAGCAGTCATCCAACCTGCCCCCGACGACAACGAAGTTTCAGAATGGAGGCCCTCCCCAAAGGAAATGGAATCCGGAGGACCCGCGTTCGTTACAGGAGTGATCGATGTGTTAGATATAGTCCGTGCCTTGGATCACTGCATCCCCTTGCCCATCGGACACCTGCTAACCATCGCTGAACAGGGTAATGACCGGATGCTACAGCATTGCAAAGCGAACCGGAAGCGATTTACCCTCATCAAATTGGCAACCGCAAAAGGAAAGACTCTCATTAAAGACTCGAAGCCGGAGAAGCCAAACACCTCCGAACCCGTCCGGATGGGCCGAATTCGGAAAGACAATCACTTCCTATGGATCAAAGCCCGAGATCCGCGGAGTGCGACGTGGAAGTTTGGTGAAACCCCTACAGCGCGGTCCTTGATTCCGGAGCCGCAGTCCTGGCCATCTCACTACGGGTGGTCGAGCGGGCTGGCCGACGGAAAGACGTGATTCCTCTCGCGGAGGGCGATCACTTCGTTTTCGCTGACGAAGGTAAGATCCGAGTTGCAGGAAGGATGTCCAATGTCGCTGTCGAATAGGTAAAGTCAACGGCTTAGGCGACGTAGTGGTCCTAAACGTGACCACATACGATGTCCTCGTCGGATTACCAGCCCTCATAGCCTTACGAGCCACGCTGGATTTCGAACGGCTTGCAGTCATCCTCAATAACACCGGAGGAAAGCCATACACCGTTCCAATGCGCCTCACCCTCTGGACAACTTCGACGTCTGAGCGACAACGACCGGGACGCTGCGAAATCCTACGAATGATAAGGTGGGAAGAATCCACAGACGAATCCGACGTCGAACCCACACTAACGTTGTCCACCTTCGAGAGTGAGGACGATGCAGATCCTCAAATTCTCGAGCTAACACGACAAAGAATTTGCTACCCACTTCGACAGAAAGCCGCGGAAACTTTCATTTTCACAAGGGACGCGCAGTGAACCAGGGCACTGATCATGGGAGAACCGCTCATTCAGATATCCCGCTTGATGGATTCTTGGGAACCCCCTCGAACCATATACGAGGCGACCACCCCATTGTTACCCAGATATCAGGATAAGCGGTCCTTCTGTGATATCTCAAAATCCCTCCCGGCTCGTTGTTCACCAAAGGAAAAGAGATCCGATTGCTACAGAGGGGCGCCGAAAACTGGACTTTGGAACCCCCTGGGCTGTACGACCTTGCCCCGTTCGATATTGGACTAAAAATCGAGAAGAAGGTCGTGGACCTCCGAGATATCGAAAACGGCATCACCACGGAGGAATATGTGGCAATCAGGGAAGAGGAAGCTTAGATGGTTACCACGATCTTCTCCTGGCGTTCCAACCATTCCTTTATATCGTTTCCACCCACGAAAAAGACCCATGTGACCAGGACAAAACAGCTACCGGTGGCGATACGAGATTGCCACTACGAATTGCATGTGTCGGACTATGTATAGGACGAGATACACAGACTCATCGCAGACATTCTAACCGAATATGAAATGGCGATCAGTACATAGGACACGAACATAGGAATATCCCTGGTCATACAACATGAGATCCAGACTGGCACCCACCCGCCGATTCATTGTAAGCCATATCGGTACTCGTTAGTCGAAAGACGAACCGCCCGAGAACAAATCAGAGAATTCGAGGCCAATGGTTGGATCGAACCCGCTACCGGACCGTGGTCCTTCCCCGTGGTTTTAGTCCCTAAAAAGATCGGATCCATTCACATTTGCATCGATTATCGGAAACTGAATGATATCACGATCAAAGATGTATATCCCCTCCCACGGATTGATGATTTGTTGGATGCGATTGGGTGTGCTAACTACTTTAGTAAGTTCGATATCCGCCATGGGTTCCACCACATATTGGTGAAGGAAGAGGATCGTCCGAAAACGGCGTTCGTACTATTCGAAGGCACATGGCAATGGGTTCGATGCCCTATGGGCATTTGCAACGCTCCGGACACGTTTCAAAGGGTGAGGAACATGACCTTCCATAATTTTGTTAACAAGACTCGGCTAACGCAGGGAATGGTGAACTTTTGCGTTATTGTGTACATGAACGACATCCTGGTGTTTATCGTTTCACGGACATGCGCAGCACATCGAATGGACACTTGGAGCGCTGTGAGACGCGCGCTTCAAGATTACCCCGAAGAAGAACGAATTTTTCCTGTCGGAAATCTCGTTTCTGGGGTACGTTGTGACGCGAGGGGGCTTGTGGCCGGATTCGAGAAAGGTCGCGACAGTTCGAGACGCTCCGACACCCAGATCGTTGACGCAAGTTCGAGCCTTCTTGGGGCCGGCCTTGTACTGCCAACGATTTATCAATGGTTTCGCAGCAATCACACAGCCCCCGACAAACCTCTTGCGAAAGGACCAGCCGTTGAGATGAGACACTGAGTGCGAGCAGGCCTTTGCCACATTGAAGGAAACCTTGGCCACGACCCCTATTTTGATTCGGCCCGACCCTGAGAAGCAATTTGTACTCATCACGGACTGGCAACCGGAGGCGATCTCCGCTATTTTGGTGCAAAAGGGGAAGGTCGGCCGCGAGCACGTCATCGAGTACGCATCTACTAGGAAAGTACTAGACGGAAGGAGAAA